ATATAATGTTTAAGATTTATGCTCATAGATTTTAATTTTTATAAATTAAAAGATCATTTATAAGGTTTAATATGAAGTGAACCATATGATATATATACAAATGTGTTTTATTTGTGTTCTGAAATTTAGCATCGCCTTCTTCTTGAAATTCATAGTTCACTATTGTAAAGAATTAATGTCGAGCCCGCACGTGACCGAAAAAATAAAATTTATATAGTAGAATATGCAACAATTTATACATAAAGATATATGTAAAAGTCAGTAAGATTTTTAATTGTTTTTGAAATTGACTGATCACATATTTTGTTTACAAAATTTGATTCTTATATTATCTAATTTATAGAGTTTCTACAATGTTTGAACAAAATAATAGTCCTCTCTATACAACTTTATTCTTATTGACGTCTTTATGGTTATTTGCATAAAACACTCTATATAAAAATCAAGAATCAAGTTTTTATGTAACATATATAATTTCTTTAGTTTTTAACTGATCTCCTACAAAATCATTTTTTTTATCTAATAGATCATAATATTTTATATTACCCGTTTGGTATTTTATTTGCATAATTAAAATTTTTGTACATAATTGTCAATAATGTGCCATGATTAGTTTTGCTTGGGCTATACTTTCAAAATATTTTAAATATTGATATTTAGTACCATGAGTTACAAATCAAAACGTCTGCATATGAGGTTTAATTGGAATATGAGTTTTAGTCCCAATTTTTTTTCCCTTTAAGATGCTCCATACGTGTTAAAAAGTGTGTTTATCGGATTGTTTTTTTCCAGTGCAATTAATTTGATCTTAAAATAATAGCAAAATATTCAAAAGTAAGAAAATAATTACAAACTATTTTATGTGAATAATCTTAAAATATGTCAATTTTTCATGTTATTAAAATATTGGTTTGCTAAACATGATGAANCAATTATATAATGACATCNTGGCACATGTCNCNGATACAAAAAACATATTGAAGCATCTTAAATAATTTTTATTAATTTATTATAGAATAATTTGATCATATTAAGGATAGACTCTTAATATATTTGATCACAAAATGATGAA